TAGTTATATATATCATTGGTCGGATGATAAAAAAAAATACTTTCAAAATATATTATTAAAACAATCCCTAAATATAGTACCAAAGAATATAATCAAGCTCAAACTATAACACCAATAGATTTGACAACTAATAAAGAAAATGATGATTATTTTTCTATTGGTGAAACAAATGTTGCTGAGTTTAATAATACAAACGGGAGGTTTTGTATTATATTCAGAAAGTCGAAATACATTATAAAAGCGAAATTATTATCCTTCAATTAAGGAAATTTTTTATAATTATAATACTGCGATACCTTCATCAGCTTTAATTGAAAGGCTATTTAGTTTTGGCACAATGTTAAATAAGCCGATACGGGAAATGTCTAATGATAAATTATTTAAAAAATTCGATTATCTTATAAAATTATGAATCTATTTTAAATACTCTGATTATTATAATTAACTCAGTATTAAATATTTTATTAATTATTGATTTTCTTATTATATGAGTATGTTCTTCACAATAAATAAAAAAAAAGTGTATTTTATAAACTATTCTAATTTAATTGGTAATGAATTTAAAAGCAGGGATGTGAACCCTTCAACAAAAAAAAAGGGTTCGGGTTCTGTAATAAATTTTTAAAGGACCCGGGTCCAGGGAACATAAAAATAATGACTCAAAATAAGACTTTTTTTTCATTCATTTTTATTATACTTCAATATATATACACATTCATAATTCAAAATGAAATAATTTAATATCTTCTAAAATATCATCCTTGAGATTTCCACGTAAATTAGACAATATGTATTTCAAAGAAGAAAATCCACGTTCTACGCTGACCTAAAATAGATAGTTATCTTTATAATATATAAATTATTGTACCTGTGTCGCCGGTACAGCCATGACGAATCTAGACAAGGTATACAATTCAGGATATATTAGAGAATTTTCCTCCCAGAATGTTAAAATATTTTTATCCCTATTAATTCTCTTAACTTCTAAGAATTTTTCAATTAAAGATACAATCGATATTTTTTTCTCCTTTCTATCTGATCCTGATGATAATTTTATTTTTTTTTCTCTATCTAATAATAAAATTTCGAGATCGTCAATATTACTATCATCATTACTATTGCTACAACCATTAGATGTTGAAGCCTCCAATATATTGTTAATAATAGAGTTATGGTTATGCCATAAATCCTCGAGATGGTCTATTGCCATTTGCTTTTGCTCAATACTTAATAGAACCTGATATCGAGGAACTAAATATATTAAGGCATACACAACACTATTTTTTAAATATTGTTGCTCTCGTATTTTCATGTTTTCTAAAATTTCGTATGAAAAGGAACTTGTAAATTTTTCTAATTCTAATCGACATCTCACCCATATGCCATAAAAATCGGATAAACACAACTGTTCTGACTGCAATCGTAATGTAGTAATTTTCAAAGGAACCAACGCCCTAGTAAGGTCTTTGATTTGATTCCAATCATCCTCTGACAAAATGATTTCACATGATCCTATAATAAAATCATCACAGAAATCTTTTAAACTTATTAATCGCTCTAGCATCATACAGATAGAGGACCAACGGGTTGTGCAATCTAATATCGCCATTGCCTTTTCATGGATTTTAATATTCGTACAATTGTAGGAGTTCTTAAATATTTAGCAACATTCCTTGCTTTGTCAATTATAGTTTTAAAGATATTATTTTTGAGGTAATCATTAATAGCTAATTGTAGTGTGTGGGCTGCACATCTGATACAGTATATCTTCGTGAAAAAATCTTTAATTATCTCCGGTATGTCAAATTCACTTATGTCCTCAAAATTATTATCATCATTATCTATATCTATATCATCCATTTCGCCCAATGAACATTCATTTAATAATTTAATAGATTTGACTAGATTAGCACCATTATCCATAGTAATGGTATAAACGTTTCTTAAAGGAATATGGAATTTATTTAAAGTTACTATTATCATTCTTTTTATATTTTCAGAAGTTGAACTTTCTTTAATCTCCTTCATTGCTAAATTTCTTAAGATTATATTATTTCCTTTAATATATTGTATATTTATTCCTAAAATATTTCTCCCTAATCTTTGGGCGGAAATTTGTTTTTTGTTTCTTTTATAATTTTTGCTTGTATTTTTTTCGATTCATCAACCACTAAGTCCTTAATTTTAAAACGGTTAATTGATGTTCCAATTGCCTTACTAATAGGATCAATAATTTTTTTTAAAACCAGAATCCTCAATAATATTGAAAGGTCTTCCATTTATTGTAACAAGCTCAAATAAAGCATTCATCAAATTCTCCTCAGACATTTGAATATGAATGCTTTTTTTAAGCAAAATTTTTCAATATTATTTTGATCCTTCTTTACAATACTGATAGTAGTAAACTTTTTAACAATGTCTTCTTCCAAAAATTTGGTTTTTCTATTTAAATATTCCTCAAAGATTATAGAATGATGTCTTTTTAAATGTCTTTCCAGGTTAGTATTGTGTGAACCTTTTATCATTATGTGGCAGATTTTGCACTCAGAATCCCCTTTAGTTGCATTATAGTACTCTAACAAAATATCTTTTACTTTCATACTAAAAAAACAAAATTTAATTTGTTTAAAACTTAAAAGTATAGACACATAGGATGCATATATTTTTTATTAAGGCTGCATCAAAATCTTAAAAATATAAATAAATTTTGAAGAAAAAATTACATAATCTATTTTTAATGTAAAAATAAAAAATGTGTTCAATTTCATTTTTATAAAAATTTTACAAATTGAAATTTTTAAAAAAATTAGTAAGTACAATTTTTCTTATTGCTGTTAATTTGTATAAATTTACTACCCAAATGATTATAGCCTATTATATTAATATATTTTAGTGTCAGAAAATAATTATGGAAAGCATAAGAGTGCACAGGAACCTCTGGTGCAAAAATGACTTAAAAATTAGATATTTTGTAGAAAATAGGAAAATTTAGGAGGAAATAGGAAAAAGAAAACTTGAATTATGATCAAGTGAAAAAGAAATTTTAATATAATCTGGTAAAAATATAAAATTATAATTTAAAAGGTGCTGGAAAATTATATTATTTCAATCACAATTTTATTAACTCAAATATAATAATTATATATATATATTTTATAGAAAGATTATCTTTCAAAATAGGTTATATTATTGGTTTTCCAACTGTTTATTAAATATTGATATAATTATTCACAACATAGTATTTATTAAGTATCTAAATAAAATATAACTATTATCAAATAATAGGTTCTTAATAACTGAAAGGTAATATAAAATTAAATATTTATATAACTTTTATTTTAATTATACTAATATTTGAATCATATCAAGCATTTTGAATATTTTAATTTTTTTAAAACTTAAATGTGTCCAAGTGTTTTGTTATTAATTTGTGAAAATTTTAAAGATTTTTTCAAAATATTTTGGATGCAGCATATAACTAATTTTTTGATATGATTAGAATATATTTGATAACTTATAATAAAATATATATTTGCAAAACACTGCCAATTTTGATTCATTTAAATTTACTGCTTAAAAAATCATAAGATATTAATAAATTAGCCTTTAAAATTAAAATATTATTACTTGCAGTACAAAATAATTCCAAATATTTCACTTTCAAATCAAAATACAAGAATTTCTAATAAGAGCAAATAAATTATCACAATTAAAATATTATTACTTGCACTACAATAATTCACTTTCAAAAAAATCAACGTATTTCTATAACATAGCATATTAATAAATTTACATAATAAAATATTATTACTTACACTAGAAAATAATTTATGGTATCAATCTCTAAATAAAATGAAATGAAGTCCAGGAAGAAAATCAAAAGAAAAGCGCGAATATAAAATAAATGATTCCACGAAAAAAATTAATAAAATTATAAAAATTTTATATTATTTTTTAAAAATAATATTTTTACATTATTTAAAAAAAATAATTTATATGTTAAAATTTTTACCCTGAACCCTTGAACCCTTTACTTTTTACAAGGGTTCGGGTCCGGGTTCGGGTTCAGCCAAAATAGGAGGGTTCAGAGGGTCCGGGTCCGGGTTCACATCCCTGTTTAAAAGTAACTTCTATTTAAGATACTCTAATTAAGAAAGTATCTTTTATATTGTATCTTTTTGATATTTTGTAAACGATACTAGTATCTGTATCTAAGATTCATTTTTTTCACAAAGAATCTGTATCTGTATCTAGATTGTTTTTCCAGAGGACCTGCCCAACTCTGCTTATAATTAAATGACTTATTTTATTCGAGTATTGCATAGATTCCAATTTATTTACATTTAGATTAGCTCTAATGTTTTTTTAATCATCAGCTTTTAAAAATATAGTATTGTATAAAAATTAATATTATATCACATCATAATTTTAAATCCTTATGTCTGTCTTCTGACATTTTTGGCATAAGACTTTTTTTCACCTGACAAATCAACGTGTATGACAGATTGTTTATATTCTGGTATTAACGAAAATGATTTATATAATTTATTTATTATTGATGCTTATATAATTAAATATTTTTTCTCTATTATATATAGTTATTGAATATATTATATATAATTAAATATTACTTTATATAAAATTAAATATTACTTTATATATAATTATTGAATATTTTATATGGTTTACATAATTAAATATTACTTTATATATAATTATTAAATATTTTATATATAATTAAATATTACTTTATATAAAATTAAATATTACTTTATATATAATTAATTATTTTTATATTAGTAGTTAAATATTGCATAAATTTACAAATTTGTTTTTAATTATATTAATATCAACAAATTTTATAATATATTTTACTTTTATTTATAATTAAGCTTTTATATTAGTAGTTAAATGTTGTATAAATTATCATATAAATATTTTATTAATTTAATAAAATTGAATAATATGTTAAAAATGTCTTGTTTGTATTCACCATCTTTCTTTTTTATGTCGCGAATTCAGCTGTGGTAATATTTAGGCCCCGAACCGGTTTACCGATATTTCGGACCAGATGTAACAATTAACTCTATTTCGGATAAATCATTATATGCTGCAAACGAATAAAAAGAATGGTAAAAGTTTGTGGTATACCATATGTCATTCTCAAATTTTCAAAAATAAAGATTGTGAAAAAAATAGTAATCTTACTAATTTAATAAATGTAATATTCACTGGATTAGAGAGTTATGATACAAATTATCAAGCTAGTATGCAAGTGGATACTTCTATAAAGAACTCTAACAAAAAGTTACATTCTTTGAAATTTTTAGATGAGGTATTTTCATCCTATAATATATTTATCTTTATTATATTGTATATTTTTTATTAAAATATCTTATACTATGTGCACAAGCATCAAAAAAAACTATACATACAGATAGATTGGATTCATTATAATGACTGATCTCCATTCCATAAAATTAATATAGCATTTAAAATGTTATTATGTTCATTACAATTTAAGCTATTTTGATGAGATTCACATTTAATGTAATGGAGCTAACACTAATATGAATATAAATTAAATACACTTTATTTTTCTTTAAAATAAATAAAAGATACTTCTAAAATATGTTTTAAAAGATTTAAGAAATATATAAAATAAAACAAATATTTTTTATAGTAGATTCTTTAAAAAAAATCTAGTTTTTCTTAAACAGAATTGCTGTAATTGGGTATTATATTTAGATATAATTTTATTAATGCCAGTTATAAACATCCCCTTTTAAACCCACAGGTCCTGGGTTTAGAACTAGCTTGACCAGAAATTCTACAGATAAATCTTTTTTGCTGAAATCAATCTAATAACACCCTTTCCCCTCCAGTTCTCAAAGTATTCATTTAAAAAAAAATTCAATATTTAAACCTTTGGGTGACCAATATCCAAGGATCCTTTTTAATCAATAATTTATATTTAATTTAAATAAAATATAATAAAATATTGGAGTGGGTATGTAAATCAAATAACTAGGAATATTCATGTTTTGATTCAATCAATTTATTTAAATTCAAAATCTTTTATATATAATATTTAGCATTAGTTAAAATATCAATTACATTTTATACTGATCATTATCAACAATTCAACATCATTCATATATGATATTAATCTAATATGAAATAAAAGAATAATCATTTTACAGTGTTAATCATCTTAAATCATTTGCTTACAGTGTTAATAAATAAATATATCAAACTATTAAGCCAAACAATAATAGAAATCAGTCCGTAAAGTAATATGTTACTTTACTGTAAAATTAAGATAGGTTTTTTATTTTATTATTCATTTTATTTTTAAAACGTAACATATCAACATAGTAACTAAAAATAACTTGCAACCTATGTATTAAAAAAATCATGAGAAATATAATTTAAATGCATATCAAAAACATTAATAAAAAAGAAGTTAAAAAGGGTCATATACATCCAATGACATATAATAATACCTAGACTTATGATGCATTCATAATAATGCATTTTAAAGCATCATTATACACTAATTATTCACATATATATAAAACGACTATTAAATTGATAACTTATTTCCTTATTATCTCGATGATCAGGCAATTCTTTAATAAGGTTGTCAGACGTAGGAATAAATTGGCCTCATTTTTAATAATGATATGGGTAACCAAAATGGCGTCCCCAGCTGTTTTCATTGATGTACACTTTTAATGAATGCATCGTCAATATAGATATTTATGTCGTATACATCTGGCAATAGCCAGAAATCTTTAAATAATTTAAAATTATAATGTATAATTTTAAAATTGATTTGTTGTTTGATCAAAAAGCTCTTGAAATTGTTGTTTTATGGCTTCTATTTGTTTTAGCCTGTTTTCCGACCAGTTTGTTGATACTCCGATTAGATTTAATATACACGGACACTCCCTTTTTTTCAAAAAAACATTTCTTAATTATAAATGATAATGCTAAACACAATGCATACTTTGAGATTTTATAGAATTATTAAAATAATAAATATAATTTATGAAATATGTCAATCTATCCTTTTTTTCTTGTATAATAGTGCGCACAAATTGACCGTTTCAAACGCTGCGTTGCAAACGCAAATAATGCATTTCAAATGACAGCGTGCAAATGGTAAAATTACCGTTTGGCGTTAGCAACCATTTAAATAATGCATAGGGTTTGCCTTTTTTTAATACTTTTTTAATTTTTAAATATTATATAAAATGTAAAAATTTAACTTACTTGATTATATCTAATGGAATATCTAGAAATTAAAGAAGGCAGACGATAATATAATTTTCAGACAAATCCTCTTAGAACTTAGGCCTAATTTATAGGAACATTGTTATGTTCGGGCGTTTCATTATTACAAAAATAAGCCAATAAATAGGTATAAATATAAATATGAAGCATGATGATAACGCTATGATAAAATTTGAAGCGATGCGTTGATAAAAAAATATGCAATACGATTATAAAAATAATAGCAAATTCGATAAAAAAGATATATGATTATTTCTTAAATATTATATAAAGTAATTATCTCTATAGCTTTATATTAAATTAGTTTTTAAAACTCAATCAGCTGTAATAACGCTGCGTTAAATATTGCAACGCTTGAACATAACCCCTTTACTATAAATTAGGCCCTAGTTAAAAAATGAATCGACCATATTTATAAAGACCACCATTTAAACAAGGGATGCGTTACGTTTTTTTAATTAAAAAATTATGTAAAAACACACTCAATTTGTGCTTAAGATAACACCTAGCAATCAATGCCAATTTTGATTATTTCTTGCGAAATTAAGGGCCATATTTTACCTATTTTTTTCTAGTTTGTAAGATCCAAGGACAAAATATAGCAGGCACACCTGATTTGCCTGAGTAATATTATTTTGTTTATTTCATATAATAAACATTAAAAAAAATTATTTACTAATCATTCATTGATTCTATTAAATTATAATATTAGATCATCCTCAAAATCATTGTCAAGATTATTTAACTCTAGACCATATTCAGTAAATATTGGAGGCGTTATCTTTAACTAGCAATTGGTTTATCAGAAATCCCTACTCTATATACTTCTTCGAATAACTGGAATTTTATCAAATGAATATGGTCCAGGAATTCTTCTATATGCCAAGGCTCTTGCTTGCCTTTTAAGGGTTTATCGTTTATTCTTTAAAAATAATTTTAAAAATATATATTACCCATTGAGCAGTTATTCCCATAAAACTACTGGATTTTTAGACCAAAAATCTGCCATGATGCAGATATATGATTAATAAGATACTTTTTAAAGTATTTACTTTTCTCAAAGTTTTCTTCTATTCTGTTTTGCAGAGACCTCTTAAAATTTTTTTAAATGATTCAACAATACTAAGAATGGCTAGTATATCATATTAATATTTATTTAATTATATAACTTTCCATCATTGTAACTAATTCTAGCTGTTCAACTAGGCTCATAGGGTGTAAACCCTTGACATAAATTCAGGCTGTTCAACTAGGCTCAAAGGGTGTAAACCTTTGTCATTGTGTGATCATTGGTTTTATTTCATTAATGCCATTACAAAGAAAAATAAAAATATTGAAAAAGTAAACTCCGTCTGGCTATAAAAAAGAAAAGAAGATCCTATTTTTGACTTTCGATCGGATAATAAAATATAAATTTTAGCCAAAAATAGAATTAATGAGGCTGAAAAAAGAATTTATGTCCGAAACATTTTGACGAAGTTTTGTATCTCTTATTTTCAAAATCATTTATTGATCAAACATTCATTTTAATTCTTATATTTTTATTTCGGAAAGTATTTGCTGAATTAACATGCTATATTATCAAAAAGCAAATTTTTAAATATAAATTTTTTGGCGAAAAGACTCAGCTCCTTCACAAAATTTGGAAGAGGTCTAAAAATAAAAAAAAATAGCTTGAAGGGCTAGTCTCCCCCTACTCATTACACTCCTGGTCATCAAGCATCTTTTAAGATGTTAAAGTTAGTGTTGTTATACTGCTCAATTTGAGCCGATTTTTAAAAACGGCTAACTCAATATTTTATCCAGAAAAATATTATGCAAGCCTAAGTATTTTGCTCATAGATGACACGTAGGATTGAACATCTATTGGCGAAATCTCGACGCTTAGGCAATATTTTCCTGAAAAATTCTATCATTCTGATAAACATTTTGTAGTAGAAGGCCTAATTTTTTTGATTTAGTTCAATTAATTGTTGGGAATGCTTTCTCTGTTATATTAAATATTTCTTATTTCTTTAATTAGGATTATTTTTATAGCTTTAAAATATAACTTAAAATTATAAGAGGAAGCTTTGCTTACACTAATTATTTTATTTTTTGTTTTACTTAATTTGCACATAATTGACATAGTTTCTATATCTGGATTTCCTTTACCTTTAAACATAAATTACTTATATTAGTTAAAATCATATTCAAATATTTCAGTAGCTAGTCTTGCACTTTCTATCTCGAGCTCCCCCCTTTTTTTTATATTTTTCAAAATAAAATGTTTATATTAAATTTAGTATATTTATGATTAAGAATAAGATGCCATTTTCTAATATTTAAATAAATGAATGAAAGAAGTAAAAGTAATTGAATCAATTTAATTTTTCATAAATAAAATAAATTAGTTATCGTCATTTAAAAATATTATTAATTAGAGCTGTGCCTATCCACAAATTTTTCACCAATCCGATTATATTGATTTTTATTTACCATCTATCTTAATATCAATGTTATAAATATATCTATATTTTCTATTTTAAAAACTAACTTTCACGAATGATTAAGAGTATTTTATTTTTCATAGTTAATATTCTTATTTAAAGTATTTGCAAAGTTTATGGGTGAATGTAGTGTTGTTAAACAGCTCCGTCAATTTTTAAAAATGGCCAAGTCAAAATTTTTACCAAAATATTGCCTATGCCTTGAAATTTAGCCAATAGAAGTCCAAACCTTTCTGATATATGTGGGAAAATTAAATGACTTCTTCTCCGTTTAATGGCGATTTCCAGGTGTTTCCCCTCCCTATAATTTTACTTTTCCATTTTTGAGGTCCTGAGCATCAGTATTTGTAAGTTTCATCTTTTTCATATCCGCCGTCCTTCCATTTAGATATTCCAGTTGTTTTTAATACCACTACCATCAATCACCATTTATCTTTCTATATTTTTCAAACATTTAACACCTACCACATCCTGCCTCTTTTTTGCCATATGCTTTGCCACCCGGACCATATTTCCCATTCCTTTCGCGCATTCTGTTTCTTTAGCA